GTCATCTTCCTTCAAGGGACCACAAGGGACCCAACAGTTCCCAAAGGCTGGATGTTGTTCCAGGAAGCTTGGGTGTTCCCAAGAGGACAGAGGACAGAGACACATACATCTGCAAAAGAAAAACAGGACACTTGAAAATCCCAAGAAAAGCTCCTGGCAGCTGTGCAATGCTCCAGCTGAGCGGCCTCCCACTCCAGGAGGATGCTCTAAAGCTGGGGGATGAGATCGTAGCTGTTTCAGGAACCCACAGCAAAGAGGAGGACGTAAGGGTGTTCTGAAGTAGTCTAACTGCTCCAGCGTGCTTGGGGCCCAAGGCCCAGGCATTTGTCTGATTACCTTCCCCAGCGCTGTGAGGCCCACCGTGTCTTATCTAAAAACAAAGGAGATTTCCAAATGAGGACCCTCACTGCAAAACATTGATTTGTAGCAGGTGTGGTTTTGAGACAGCTTGCGCTGCTCGCTCCCTCCTCCTCCCGCATGTCTCGGACTCCACTGATTCCAGTCATTTTGGGTTTAGGGTTTTTTTTCTTTCACTCCATTGCTTTTTTTTTTTTTTTCTGAATCTTTTTTATTGAAGTATGGTTGATTTACAATATTATATGAGTTTCAGGTGTACAACATATCATTCGATATTTTTATAGATTACATTCCATTTAAAGTTATTACAAAATCTTGCCCATGGTTCCAGTTGGTTTTGCTTCTGCCTTAGCGTCCCAGGTAAGCAAAGCTCCCATCTTGGGCTTGGCCCTGGATGAGGGTGGAGTGTCTCATCAGGGTGACATCCATGTACTGTAACTGTCAACCGCCATGGGGTGTGATTCCCTCCTCCCACTGAGAATTGTAGCTAAGATGTCCAGTACGACTTAGGGCCTTAGGGCATCAGTTTCTCTACCTATGGAGAACCATCCTCACCCTCCCTGGAGCAGGTGCCTCCCTACGTGTCAGGAAGGCAGATGTGGACTCTGGTAGTTCTGCTTGTTCACAGTCAACTCAATTATCCGTTTTTTAGAAAGAGAGAGAGGGAGTAGGGGAGGGAGGGGTCTGGGGAAGGAAGGAAGGAAGGGAGGAAGGAAGGAAGGAAGGAAGGAAGGGAGGGAGGGAGGGAGGAAGGAAGGGAGGGGGGAACGAGGGGGGGAGGGAGGGAGGGAGGGAAGGAAATAAAACAAGAAAAGACAAGAAAAAGCAAAGAAGAGAAATGCAAACTTCTTTCTCTCTGGCCCTTTCCCTCATTCTGTCGGTGAGCGCTCGCTGGTTTCGCCAGTGGCTCTCCTGCTTCTTGCAGATTCTGGATATACATTTTCCTTAAGACTGATTGTCTGCAAAGCAGTGGAAACAAACCAGAACCCCTCATAAATCAGTAGGGGTCACTGCCAAGAGCTTTGTACACTTGCTGTCCCTGGCAGTGATAAACTCATTGCATTTGGGAACTGGCCAAAGACCCTGAGTCCTATCTTAACTCTCATTCCCAGAAAAACCTCAGCACTCCGTTCCCCCACCCACTGTTTACTGTCTTTCTGTTTCTTAGACAAAGCTGGCAAGGAAGAAGGCACAGAGTTCCATAACTGGGTACATCAGAGGCTGCACTTCTCTGCTTGGGGGAGGAGAGGAGGGTAGAGGAGAGTCCTGGATCCATAGGCTGTGGGAGAGGAGGCCCCAGAGGGGCCTGGAGCCTCGGGCCCTGTGGGGGGCATGAGCGATCTGCAGAGGTTCTTGGATTCTGTTTTGCTCAGACCATGCCTTGCACATGCTAGTGTTGTTTTGGTGGTTGTTTCCTCACAGGGTAATCTGAGACGGTCATAATGATGGCCAAGGGCTAGCAACGAGGTTGGCAGAGTGAGACTGCCTTATGCAGCCCACATCCAACAGGCCATACTCTCTCCCCACAAGGTCCTCACCTTGGCTCTGGCCTTGGCAACGAATTGCCAAGTTGGCATGTGACATAGAGAGGACAAGAGCAGTGCCCAAACTGCCCCTCTGACCCACATCAACTGCCCCCCCGACCCCCGAGAGGGGACCACCACTGCCTGCTACTCCTCAGCCCTGGGTTGTCCTTCTTGCTCTGGTTGACCAGACTAGGAACTGGGAGACACATTCCTGTCTACTCAGCTCTTCCTACCTTGATGAGGCTCTTTCTGGTTGAGGGACAGCCATTCCCCACCTCGGACAGGGTAGGTCATCCTCAGTTATACCCGTTCACAGCACCCTGAACCTGCTCTTCTTCCTTGTATCCCTCAGCTCAGCTGGTCACGCACGCCCTTATGCAGTGAACTCTAAGCTTTATGACAGCGGGGACCTCTTCTGTCTTGGCGATGCCGGAATCTCAGTGCCTGACACAGTGCCTGGCACCTAGCAGATGCTCAACAAATATTCTGGGGATCAAATGTTGAGGCATCTGCTTTATCCTACATTCTTTCTCAATTGACAAGTTCTTTCTTTCAGTGGCTTTTCCTGCCCACGATGAGCTGGAGGAATTAGCTAGATCAGGGGTGAAATTTGTTGCCAAGGCCAGAAGGGCTGGGCTGGGAAAGGCTTCCTTCCTCTTCTTGGGGGAGCAGGGGGTATTTTGTGAGATATACTTGGGGATTTAGATTCCTCTGAGAAGTCAGAACAAGAAGCATGGGGCTGTTGCCTTGGAGAGGGGTTTGGAGAGGGGCCAGGCCTGAGGGCCAGGCCTTTCCAGATGACTCAGGAGCAACCTGGCTCCGTGGGCCAGACAGAAGCCATGCCTGAGACAAGAAGAAGGAGACAGCGAGATAGTTTCTCTCTGGGTTAACATTTGTACCTAAGATGTAAATGTTAGACCACTTTAAAGGGACAGCAAATGCAAAGACCATGATGTCCCTCGGTCTAGGCCCTGAGGCCATTAGGGCTGAGCCACGTGGCCCACATCGGGACTTCCTTTGAGTTGAGTGTGATCCCCACTCTCCTTCCATACAGAGAGCAGGATCTGATCATAAACTAAAACAAGTATGGAGCCTGCAAACTTGCTCAGTACTTGCAAACTCAGACCAGCATTTCAGTGAACCAAAAAGCAACATAAATTCCGCTAACATTTAACCCTGTGCTGGACGCTATGCACATATAAGAGATTAAAAACACATTGTTCCCTCAAGGAGCTTAAACTAGAGTGGGCTGGGTTTTTGTCTGAAATTTGCAGAAAAACACTCAGCGACATGTGTTCCCACTAAGTTTATTAACTCAGAACACATCTGGATCATCAAAGTAGATTCAGATTGAAGCCAGTGTTTCGTTTCACTGGGTTCCTTTCAGTGGCCCCATTCCCACGAGTAGGGCTGCACCCGCTTTTATAAATATGGGGGCATCTGGGCAAGAATGAAGCTGGTGCCCAAATAGGTCTGCATATGGTCCATCTGAGGATGGCCTGAGAGGGGTCCACATGTCAGCAAGGTGATTCTTGCTTTCTGTCTTCACTTTCTTTTGAGGTGGGTAGCAAGAGGGTCTTGGCAAGCCATCGTCATCACCCAGCTTCCTCTGGGATGCACCAGCAGTCTGGCCAGGTATTTCTTAAATGTGCCCCCAGCTGAGGAGAAGTCTCTACCTCCCCTTCCTCCTCCCCTGGGAAGAGTACCCGAGGAAGAGGTCCTTAATGACCAGTCCAGCCTCTTTGCTGACCATTCTCTTCACTGACCAGCTCTCCATTCCCCTGAGCACTGGGGCCCTTGTCCAGCATCGTGGGATGAACAATGAGTGTACATCAGGCAAGATGCTTCCCTGCCTGATGATTCCACCCTCCCTAGGGAAAGCCCACCCTCCTCCTAACAGGTCCTCTCTTGGGACAGCCAGGCTTTCCTGTGCAGCTGAGCTACCATCCATTTCCACTAATAAATAACCCTTTTTCGACGGACAAGCTCCGTCTTTTAATGAAACAGGCTTTCCCTGCCCTTAATGAGGACAGATCTATTAGGAAGGGATCACAAGGCTATAGGAATTAGCCGGAAGTGAAGGGCAAAATCCGTTGCCATGGCCAGAATGTAACGCCTCTAGGAGCCCAGGAAGGCACTATGCCCCAGCATCTGCCCCTCCTGGATGGAAGACTCAGGCCTGGCATATTTGCCCAGATGCCCCCACGATCTGGTTCTAAGGGTCCCCTTCCAGGATGGGATGGTGGCCCTGACATGCACAAACTGACCCAATTGCATCGTTGCCTGTAGACTTCTTTTTTAATTAAACTTTTTATTTTGAGATACTTTTAGCTTCACAAGCAGTTATAAGAAATAATATAGAGACATCCCATGTACCCAGTTTCTCCTAACAGTAACATCTGCAAAAGCTATACTACAATATCACGGCCATGACGTTGACATTGCTACATCCCCCGAGTTTATCAGATTTCCCAATTTTACTTGCACTCGTATGTGTGTGTATGTGTTTAGTTCTATACAACTCTATCACATGTGTACGATGTGTCAAGATACAGAGCTAGTCCACCCCCACAAGAACCCTTCCTGTTGTCTTTTATAACCACACCTCCCTCCCCTCCCTGCCCCTCTCCTGTCCCTAACCTCTGGCAACCACTAACCTGTTGTCTGTTCGTATAATTTGTCATTTCAAGAATGTCATACCAGTGGAATCATACAGTATGTAACCTTCTGGGGCTTTTTTTCATTCATCATAATTCCTTTGAGATTCATCCAAGTGGTTGGGTGCATCAGTAACTTCTTCCTTCTTATTGCTGTGCCCGTGGTTTTAATCATTAAGCAGTACTGCATCCCAACGTGGCCCCAAGGCCCAATTACATAGCCTCTGCGACATGATCCTCAGGGATCTTTCACTCTGTGAGAGAAAATAGGTTTTGGTTGGTGTTTTCTGAGTGGGAAAAAAACGAAACAAAGCCAACATGTTACATGTTTTTCCAGGTACAGACAAGCATATTTCGGTTTGTTTGTTTCTTTCCTAACACAGTGGCCAGTTGGGTCGCAGTTCCCTTTAGCACTGGTTGACAGTCCTTTCTTGTGTCTTCCCACCTCCCGCCTTTCCAGGAGCACATCTACAAGCTGATGAAGAGCGACAGCTATGCCCGCTTCCTCCGGTCAAATGCTTACCAGGACTTGCTGCTCGCCAGGAAGAAGGTACCTGCGAGGGGCAGCCTTGCCTTTCTTAGCACTGTTGACCTCTGCCTGCTGCTTCCTGCCGGTGTGAAATGAGAATGTCATCCCTTGGGTTTTATTTCTTTTCTCTTTTCTTCTTTCCCTTCTGTACCTGGTCCCACTCCAATAGAATATAATTAGGATTGTCACCACATCAGCCCCCCAACAAGGTCCAGGGTGTGGCATCCTGTCTCCCTGGACCCATCATCTCCATCTGCGTGTCCTGCCCACAGCGGAGAGTGTGACCAAATTCTGAGGCCGCAGTGGCTCAGCCCAGGAGTACAGGGCTGGCAGTGACATCAGCCAATCCCTTAGGAAACCACTGAAGAGTCCAGCCCCCTCCCCACAGATTTTCTGTCCCCAACCGGCTCAGAGACGAGTATGAGGCAAGGATTGGGGCGCCCCCCTCTGGATAGAAACGCTTATAGGTTTCCAGGGGGCGATCTGGCATCTGAAGTCCTTCCTGGGGTGGTTGCCCCTCCCTCTCCCTCACCTGCCCCACAGCATTTGCTTTTTCTTTTAACCAAGAAGTAATGGCATCCTAGCTCCTTCCTCCTCCTCCACTCTGAATGAAGTCCTCGTTCCCTGTGGCCCTCAGTGTCTGGACTTGGGGGTGCAGGGACCCTCAGCATGCAGGGTGGTGGGGAGTGACTGAGGCAGGGATGAACTCAGCTGGATTTATGGGAGGAGGGAAGGAAGAGCCAGGAGGGACATGGGGTCTGGAAAAGGGGAGGCAGGAGGGACGGCTCAAGGTTCCAGTATGCCTGCAAACGCTCTGCTCGTCTTGGTTCTCATCTGAGGCCCACGTGTGGCTAATGGGGCTCTCCTTGCACCAAGTCCCGGGACTCCCGTGCCATGCCGCTTAGGACTGTGCGCATCCCTTTCTTCTCCCTCTCAGCCTCCCGGCAGCAGTCCCTGAGCCTGTGGTTGTCCAGCAACACGCTGACTGTCGGGCTTCCTCTCTCAGCCACACAGCCCCTCTTTCTGTGTACTGTGACCTCACATGCCAGCATCCTTGTCTCCATATCTGGCTGGTCCCACAGCACTCCCGAGTCTAGAAGAGCATTTATGTCCTGCTTGCCTGCCCTTAGGTAGCCCTGAGGACATCCCCAAGAGCCTGAGAAAGAGAAGGAGACTTTGGGGACTCCCAGAGTGTGAGGAACCCAGCTTTCTTGTTGGCCTGCATCCCTTCCATCAGGTGTCACTACTACGATGGAAAATGTGAAGCCTGACCTCCAGCCCGCTCCCTTGCCAGAGGGTGGAGGTGGAGAGGCCCTGATGCAGCTGGCGGACATCCCCACCAGTAATGGCTCTGATACCCAGTTTCTCAAGAAAAGTTGTGGAGACCTTTGGTGCCTCCAGCCCAGATCTCAGGGGAGAAGGCAAAGTAATTGTTCCTTATTTCTTGCGGCTCAAGACCCTGAACTGATCCCGGTGTGGGGAAATTGTGAGCCTCTAGCAGTCTGACCCAGCTGGGCCTGTCCACACACCCAGAAGAAGCCAGAGGCCATTCAGTCTCCCTGTGGGTCTGAGCACAAAGGGAAAACGCACCCCAGCACAGGGAGTGGGGCTGAGATTCCACAGATCCTCCCGTACGAGGAAAGCTTCTCGGAGGAGGTCACTTGAATGAGGAAGGAACGGACGGCCTGCCCGTAAAATGTCCCAGATGAAGTTCATTAGAATTATCCTTCCAGCCCCTACACCAAGGAGTGTCCTTGGGGCAGAAAGCTCTTGCAGATGCCAAAGCCCTTTCAATATCCAGGGGTTAATTGTTTCCAAAGTCAGCGACAAGCCTACCTCTCCTTCCATTTCTCCCTGAGTCTCCAGGCATGCACTGGATTTGTCACTCACTGGATTTGTCACTTCCAGGTAGGCCTAGAGTGTCTTCTGATGTCAGGGATGGGCTTACCATGCGATCTGCATGTCCAGGTCATGAAGGGAGGTGAGCCACGAGGTCCAGCTAAGAGGAGGGCTGTAAATCGGCCTCACTTTTCTGCTCAGGAAGGCTCCTGATGGAGTCTGGAGGCATAGCCTTCCAGTCCTTCCTCCCTAATTCCTCGTCTATCCTAGTATTTTCAGAGATCAGGGTAGTTGCTCTGATGAGCCGGGTCTCAAGGACAGGTGCGCTGGGTTTTGAGGGGCCCCTCCAGAACACTTACGTACCAGTACTTAAGTACAGTTTTCCAGGGCAGCTCGGAGGACCTGTGCAAGGCAGAGGAACCTGAATAAGTCAGGCCAGTGGCCACTCTCTGTGGGCGACAGCTCAGGAGCCAAGGGAAAAGAATGCCAGGCGCAGAATGCCAGCTGCGGGGCCTAGGACTGGCCTGACTTGAGCTGCACAGACAGCCCCCGGGTTGCCCACTGGGTTGAAGCTGAGTCCTGCCGTCCCCGGTGGGGAGACTCAGTACGGTGCCAGGCCAAGCACGGATCCTTCAGTTCCCTGTGCCTGAAGGAGAAAGACCAGCCTGGCTCTGCGGCGGTGTGTCCTTTGTGCTGTGTCTTCCTTCTGCAGCGTCCTCTCTGTCTCCCGGCAGCCAGCTGAGGGGATGGGGCATGACAGCCGAGGAAGCCCTCTGACCTTGTCCACACCCACAGTGGCTACCTTTGGCCCCCTCTGCTTCCAGCACATCCTGCAGACCCACAGACACCTGGCTGCTTCTTCAGCTCTCTAATTTCCATTATTTGCTGTGTGTGTGTCCACGTGAGTGTGTGTGCTCTCCAGATTTCCCAGGCATGGATTCAGGACCTTGGAACTGGGCTCTGGGATAAACTAGCAGGTATTTGGGATGTAATTCTCCCCCCTTGGAAAAGCAGGAAAGTTGAGGAGAGGGTCAGGTCACACCACACCCCCTCCTCCTCCACTAGAGGAGAACGGCCAGGCCTGGGGGGAGCGTCCAGGGGCTTTGCCTCCTCTTCCCCCTGTGTGGGGAGACGCTCAGCCTGGAGTCCCTGGGAGGTTCCTGCGCCTGCTGTCACCTGCCGTGAGTAAACCTTGGAAGGGGTCACCTGCCCGAGTACCGAGAGAGCATTTTCTGTCCAGAACGCTCCCTCTGAGGCCCAAGATCTTTGTGGTTGCAAACGACCCGAGTAGAGCCTCCTTGGTCTAAGGACACAGAACGAGAGTCACTAGGGGCCACGAGGATGTTGAGGAAGTGAACAAACTTCCTGGCTGCATCTGAGCAGAAAAATCTCAGAGAAAGTCCTAACCCAGACTCATGGAGGACTCGATGACTTCACCTCGCCCACGGCCGCTTTGGCCGTCTCAGCAGGATTCCCCCACAGGCCCCGCTGGCCCTGGAAGCTCGTCTGGTTTGGGGCCCCCGTTGGGGCCCCCAGCTGGCTCCTGCGCGTGGGCTCGGCCCCTCAAAAGCAGTGAGCAGGCAGTTCCCAACTGCTGACCGAGGGCTCGGCTCCCAGCCCGGTGGCTCCTACTTCAGCCCCAAAGCACGATTAATGGCTCTTCTAGAAGCAGACACCCCTCTCTCCTCGCAGCTCCAGGGAGGCTCTGTTTTCCGTCTCTCCCACTGACTGTTGCACACAGCTCTGGCTGCTTCTCTTGTCCCGTTTTTTTTTTTTTCCCCCCCGCCCTGTCTTGCTTTTGTTTTGGTTCATTAGCTGCCGCTGCTGCTCTTGGGGAACGATGTGTAAGCTGAAGATTTTTTTTTTTTTTCTGTATTTTTCTCCCTATCTTTTTTTTTTTTTTTTTTCCCCCTAAAGCCAGAAAGTGAGCAAGGTCGTAGAACTTCCTTAGAAAAGTTCACTCGCAGTGTGGTAAGTTCAGCCGGTTTTCTTTGGTGGTTGTTTTTCTCTGTTTTGTTTTCTGTGTGTACGGTGGTGATTGTTGTCGTTTCCTTTGGGATGGGAGGGAGCCCAGTGCTTTCCCCTCAACACACCCACCCGTTTTCTCTTGCAAGGGTCGAGGTCGGCGGCTTCTCTCCTAGGGATGGATCTGCAAAAGACAAAAGGCCCGGCGGCTCCCTCTGCAGACGGTGCACGGGGCAACCGCCCAGCCTCCGGCCTGGCGTTTGATCTTCTGTCTGTGGCCTTGAGGAGGAAGGAGCTCCCCCCTGCCCTCGGGGCTGCGCGGTTGGTGCACCCTCTGCAGCAGCCCAGGGAGAAGGCCGTCCAACCGGACCATAAAATAAATTGGCTCAGAACCATAGCTCATCTAAAACAACATCCAAATTTCCCTCTGTGGACTCTGACAACCGTGCGGGTGCCCGAGGCCAGCTGCCGCTGCTGCTGTGTCGGCGGCTTTTGCGTGTGCCTAAGGCGGCCGTGCTGCATGGGTTGTGGCGATGCGGTCTACAGCTGGCGCGTGTGTGTGTGTTAGTGGCCTCTGCATGAGTTCCCACATCCCTGACAGCCCCTTGTCAGCCTTCTTTGCACAGCGTGACAGGGAGAGGAGGGCAGTAGCCATGGAGTGGAGCGGCCGTGGGAGGGTCTTCCCCATGGTGCCTGGTGGAGATTCTGGGCTATGATCTGTAGAACAGCACAGACCCATCTCCCCTTTCCATGATGTTCTCTGTAAGGCAGGGGCATAGGGCTTGATGCACAGGAAGCACTCAGTCCCGCTCATTCACTCACTCGTCAAAAACAAGCTGCTGAGTTCATGGGGCCCAGCCTGCACTCTTCACGTCAAACCAGAGAGAACCAACATGGCAGCCAGGGAGCAGGGATCCCACGTGTGGAACTGGCCACATTTCCCTTCCCCAAGGGTGGAAACCCACTGATGCTAACTTGCCTTTTTCCTCCCTCTATTGAAGAGGAGAGTCCTTGTAAACCTGGCTACTGTGTGATTAGTATCGTTATTTTATCCCTTTAATGAAAAGTCTAAGAATTCTGGGTTGAAAACAACATGGTCATTTACCTGTCCTAGCTAGGTGCATCTTAACTGAATTTAAACATCATTTTGAATTTGCTAGATGTAAACATCACAGGAACTCTAGGAGGTGGCAATTAAAATAGGCGTGCTCATCCCAGCTCTTCTTTGGTCTTTTCTCCCCATGGCCTTTCCTCATGAGAAATCAGAACTTGCACAGTGTAAGGCCTGTGGTTCCCCTGTCTGTCTTCATGGCTGGTTTGCCACGGACACGTAACATCATACACCAAGAAGCTGCCACGGGCTGTTAGAGGCAAGGCCAACAGGAATTCCTTCACCCCCGATGGCTGATAGAGAGTGGTGGGGACCCACCCCTCCCTCTCTTTTGAGGCCTGGAGGCTGTAGGTGGAAGATGTTTAGGGGTTTTGTTGACCAACCCAGAGTATACTGTGGAGAAAGCAGAACTCCTGCAGCCCCACGGAGGCCCTTCAGGTTGACTGCGTGGGCTGAGGGTGTGAGAGGAAGCCTGGTACTTGGATGAGGCATCCAAACATCTCCAGGCTGCTCTTCATGAGGAGTGGGTATTGGGAAAGCAAGCATGATCTCAGTGAAGCTCTGTGAAGAGCATTTATTGATGTTCCTTCATCCCAGAAGTGGTGTTGGTTCAGTGGTTCTCCAAGGTCTGTTAACAAAGCGTTTGGAACAAGAAAGCATCAGACACCACCTTCCAAGCGTCTGAAGTGCGCACATGGGAGAACTTACAGAGAGGTTTCAGGGCCGGCTGAAAGAGAAAACTCTGCCAAGTTCCTGAGATTTTTAGAATCTATATGAGAGAAGGCCCGAACTTCAAAACCAAAAACTTCCTAAATGCCATGCTATGTTTTCTCTGAAGACTCTAAGGGGTGGGGCGTTCTGAGATTTTGTTTCCAGTGGTGGAGGTGGACATGGATTTGTATTGATCCATCCTTGTTCCTTGTGCTCTTGGGGTAACACCACTTGGGGTAACCAGGTGAGGCTGAGTTTGAGGAAACTGCCCGTGGCCGTAGAATAGTAGCAGCTCTCAGAGTACTCGAGGCTGGAACCCGAGAACGTGGTCTCCACAGCCCAGTGTTCTAATCAAACGCAATTAACCAGCCAACGAAAATGCCTTGCACTTTAATGGCCATCTTCTGGATATAATATACATAAAGTGCTTGATTTCTTTAAAAGAAGGTCTACGTGAATATTTCATCTGCTACATACTGCAAACTATAAAACTCAATGAAAGACTTGTTCAATAGCATTCCCATGGTGCTGGGAAATATGTGTAAAAAGACCATCCATGTCGTGGAACCAATAATGGGAAAATGAGGGGGTGAAGCCGGGCAGTCCGTGCACCAAGGATGTGAGGCCAGCTGCCACTTAGGACTAACTAGTGGCAAGAAATGTTGACCCAGATGGTTAGTTATCTCAGTCAGCTCACTTCTTATCAAAACTGAATCTGGGTCCAGAATTTCTCCCACGCCAGTGTCCCTTCTTTTCTTGGTAAAGGAGGAACGTGTGGAGAAAGCAGGTCGTTCTTTCCAAGACTCAGGTGTATCATGATGTGGAGGGATTATCTGTTGAAGGCCCCAGATGCCCCCTTTGACGTGAGATCCTAGGCAGCAGTTCACTGTGGTTCACGGAAGCTGCTGGGGCCACCCTGGTTTGGGTGCAGAAGGAGCCTTGCGATCCCCATCAGAGGCATTGCTGGGTGAGCTGCTCCTTCCAATGGAAGCGTCATTCTGAGTCACGCAGAGCTTGAACATCAGAGCCAGTGGGGGATACGCTGTGCCGAGGCATTGTGTAGCTGGGCCACCTAGAGCCACGGAGCTCGCATAATGGCCTGCTCTTTGACAGGGCAGGCCCAGGTTCAGAAGCAGACGTCACTCAAAGTCCATGGCGTGGCACAGCCAGCCCACATCGCATTTTTATTCAGAGCAGAAGACAGGACTCTCTCTGATGAGCCCGGCCCCACGGATGCCCAGCTGGCCAAGCAACGCGCAGCTGGATTTCAGCCCCTCCTTGACCCTCAGCTGCCCTTGTGCAGTGGATGACTCACATCACTGAACGTGGTGGCCCCGGTCCCAGAAGCTCCAGGCCCAGGAAGAGCTGTAACCCATAGCAGCTTCTCAAAGGGGGCCTAAGACGTGGCCTCAGGTCAAATGAATGGAGCCTCTCTCTCCCTAGTCCTGTCCACTGGGAAGCTTCCTTTCACAGTGGCGTAGAATATGAAAGCCACAGTAGGAAACTTCTGTGGGTTGCCTTTGCATCACCCTCCATCTCCTCTGCAGACTCTCTGGTGGGTCCCAGGCACTGCTGACGGTGGGGAGGAGGGTCTTCTCTAACTAGAGACTGCTTGCTACTGCTCAGTGCCCACCAGTCTGCCATTCTCCACCATCTTTCTGGTTTTGTGGCTGACAGATGACAATGAGGGTGGCCAGAGCGGAAAGGCTGTCCATCCCCCTGCTCTCTCTTAGGCGTGCTCATTCCTTCAGGGTCTACCGCAAAGCAGGGAGGGCCCCACAAGGGGCAACTCTGACATAGAGGACAGCAAGGATGCATGGGAGGAGGGCCATTAGCCAAGGGCCATTAGCCAAGGCTCAACAGCAGCAATTTGATTGCCCTTTTCACATGGTGGCCAGAGCCATCTGGTGAGAACTCCACGGGAGGAGCTCTGGGAGGAAAAGCTAGAAAAAGTCCTCTGCATGGTATCTGCAAGGGATAGCACTTGAGTTAGCAGAAGTGGCAGCCCTGGGTGACGGTGGCATCAGCCTCCCTGGACACCTTTGCCTGGGCGCTCAGCTGAAGCCCCAGGTGTCCTCTTGAGAGCCTCATCAGCTGTAGCCTCGGGCTCCCGAGATGGGCAATGGGGTCGCTGGTGCCTGAGCTACGCTGGAGGCCTCAGGAGAGCAGAGATGAGAGCCAGGTGTTCATCACTCTCGTAAGAGAGCGTCACAGTTGGGCTTTGTCGAGGTGCTCCTTGGAACTGAAACAGCAAGGGCCGGGAGCTGAGGGAGCCTTGGCGTGCGCCAAGCAGCATCTCCAAGCGTTTCTGTCCTGCCTGCCAAGGAATGCAGCGGGAAAGTCAGATGGAGACCAGGAAGTTCTGGGAGCCAGCTGTCACCCTCCCTCCCTCTCCCTTTCCTCCCGCCCCAACCAAAAGCCAAGGAAAAGCTAATGAGGGCTAAAAAGTCTGCAGCTCACCTCCCACCACCTTCCAGGCAGCTCCGGCCCCAGGCCCAGGTGCTGAACCAGAAGTGGAAGGCTGAGACCCTTGGCAGGCGAGGCAGAGGGCCGGCAGCCAGGGTGCTCCGCCCACCCCACCCCTCCCCCGCCCCCAGCAGCTCCTTCCCCGGGGAGGCTGTCTCCCCCTCCCCCTCAGCGTGTCAGGGGCAGAGCCCTGCACTCTGCTGCAATGAGTTCTCAAACACCTAGACTCAGCAGAACCCCCAGAGGGCTTTGACCTCCGTTGAAAAAATCCTTTCGGGGCCTCCAGCAAGGAACGATTGGCTAAAAATTCTTTAGAGCTGATTCTGATTGCAAACAGTCCTTGGGCCCCATGGGGACGTCTGGGTCGCAGACTGTAGTGCCAGCCTCTCCCATCTCAGAGCCCTGAGATCCAGCAGCAGTGAGACCTGGGCCTGCCTAGAGATGGGGGCGGATTCCATAGCAGTGCTGGGAGGGAAAACATGAAAACCTGCCCGTCTTGAGCAGCAACGACTTCCCCTGGGACTCTGGGAAACTCCTCAGCAGCTCCATGCAGGGTGGCTCCTGCTTCCAGGCTCAGCTTGCTAACAGTGTGGCCTCAGGCCCATCACTAGCCCTCTCTGAGCCCTGGTTTTCTCCTGTGAGCAATGGTGTGGACTAGATCATCTCTGTGGACCTCTTCAGCTAGAATGTTCTATAGGTCTGTGCTTCTCTGAGCCCT